TCTGTTTTACTGCAAGACTACCATTGAAAATTATTGTTGGATGCGCAGTAATGGTGTTGGCAATAGTTCTTCTGCAGGGGTTGGTCCAAGAGCATTTCCTGCACATCACTTATTCCCTGTCACTTTCCTATGCAATAAAGGTAAAAGTTACGACGTCAAGTCAAGATGACAAGATGATTAAATCTATCCTCCGGCACTAACAATGGTTTTAAACATTTTAAAAACACTGGCTTATTGTGTCACAACCCTATTAAACAAAGGTTCCCATAATACAGGGGCTGTTATGTGAACAGGACATATGTTTTAGTGAACTGCCTCTGCACTCTTGTTTTTCTGAAAGTATGATGAGCTAGTTATTATCGGTTCCTGCTGCAGTGTACAGCCATCACTGCTTCATTATGATGCTGAAGAAAATGAGATAATTTTCAGGCATGCTCTGGGGTTAAAAGGAGGGTCCTTTTGTATGATTTCTGGGTAAAGCTTGTAATCATTCATAATGGAAGATAATGGTACCCTCGTATCCGTGTTCAGAAGTGCTGCCAGGAAAATGCAGCAACTGGGCAGTAAGTTTTAAAAGTTCTTAATTGCCCCCCACGAGATTTGTGCCACAGCCTGTTGACAGCAGCGATGGGGCCAAATCGATTGGCCGTATGTTGCTGTTTTTAATCAAAAGCCTGCAAGTGTTAGCTAACGTCTCACTCCACACAACACTGTAACAGTTTCAAAACCTCTGCAAAACATTTTTCTAATTTTAAATATAATTTAAAGGAGATGTGTCTTTTTTTCAGGCAACAAACTGAGGCCCACAGTAACATTTCCAGACCTTCTTTTTAGAATCTATCAACGATCTTTATCTGTAACGTGGCAGGGAGATGGAGGTGCATGGTAAATGTATACAGTGTTTAATTTATTGATCTGAGTCAGCTTGACGTTTGTGTTTCCATATTAACGTCACAACTCTCTCAGAAGGCATTTAATTTGGTGTTATCAGAATCACTAACAGGAACACAGCTGTGCTGTCTCATCAGCTATGCTGAGGGGAAAAGAAGGAAAGCGAGTCGGGACCCTAACAAATCAGCTGCAAATGACAAGACTGATTTGATTTTTCATTTTGGCATTGGAGAGGAGCACATTTTCAGGCTGAAAATGGAAATGGGCACATTAATTCATTAGCATGAAATATAACTTTAGGTGGAATTCAGAGTTGTTATCATTCCTCTGGGGAGAGGCAGCAATGTGTGGGCCCTGCCGCTTAGATGAAAACCTCTGCCAAGGTTGTGCAAATTGAGTAAAAGCGCACCCTGACTGACACACAGGATAGATGGCTGCTGAGGTTGGCAGTTTGCCACTGAAGTCATACCCTACAGTCCTCTATCCACTGCTTTTAAATATAGAAGACCATATGTCCAGAGCAAATGGGAAAACGAGAGGACTAGTGCCAGGAACAGTAATGAGACGTGCGACAAACAGGCCTGAGATTTAGTTCTGACATTTGATTATCCAAATGCCTTTTTATTGTATTTTGTTTTATTTATTTTGTTTGTTGTGATCCTTGAAATGCATTCATTGTGTCACTGATTACAACGACTTCTCGGGTGTCTGTCATCCGAGATGCAATGTATGTTTAATATGTTATAAAACTGAAAGCTCAAGAGTCTACAGCCAAGCTAGCAGCTCTGTGAAGCTCAACATGATCAAAAGGCATTGATAGTATACTGACATTTAGCAAATATGCTTTTTTCTATGTTTATGTTCTGTTTTTTCTATATTTGGCATATTAAATGTATAATTAGTGCTAAATGGACCACTTCTGAGGCTGATAGCAGGTAATAAGAGACCTGGGACACAGATTTGCTGTAAAAGGACTAAAACCCTTGTGATTCGATTAACATTGTGTAGTAAGGCTGTAGTAATTGTTCTAAGTGGGTGGACTTAGTTGATAAGGAGCCGAGGATACACCATTTACACTGGGTCTGAGAAGGAGACTTTTAGGACCACATCACAGACAAGAGACTGACAACAAGACAGATGAGGTGAGGGCAAAGACACAAGTTTTGCACTATTATTACCAAATTATCATAAATATGGCTAAATATATATTTGCATAAGGTAAAATGTTCAGGTTCTGCAGCCTGTTTCTCAAAGGAAATGATACATCGTATGATAACAAACAGGGTTTTTTTTTCTTTTCGTTTTTCACACTTATTTCAGATATGAAATCTTGTTTAACCTTGCTCATCTTTTTTTTTTGATACACATCAGTCTTTGTCTTTTTAAAATAATAATATAATCTATCAACACAATGTCTGCAATTATAACCATTTCCAACCAAAATTGTTTTAATGTGTTTTACTTTGAAAACAAACCAGAAGATCCATTAAAAGATATTTCTGTCAGTTTGGTTCAAAATAAAAGGTCGAGGCTGGCGTGCTAAAAAAGGTTTGAGGCACTTTGTTTTTGCACTTGTACAAGTTTCTGTCTGTCTTTGCAAGGACCAACAGTAGTTACCCATCATGCTCAGATTAAATTTTTCATTTTCTTATGGTCCCGGGTTGGTTTACCAAGTATTGGAGTTGTTTTGGATTGCCAGTGTTATTAATTCAAATATTTTTTGTGTTTCTTTACCTAGTATTTTTATTTTTTTTTCATGCATTTTGTCTCCTTTAATGTATTTAGTCCTGCTGATCCTAATACCTTTAAAATTGAGTTCTCCTTCTGTGCTTGATCCTCTTGCATGAATCCTCCTGTGTTTAGTTCCTTCTTGTATCTTTGTTTTCACTTATCTCCCTTGCTGCTTATTTTGAGAGTTAATATTTCTTGTACTTTGTTTTTAGTTTTGGTTCCCTTGGCTTGTCTTCTGTGACTTATTTCACCTGTTTTTCATTCTACTCCTGTTTGTCTTCACTTCCCTGATTGCCCTTCTCAGTATAGTGGCTCATACTGTATACTTTCCAGTGTTCCCCTAACATTACCTTTGAACTACTGCCAGCAGTCTCATAATAAATTGTTCAGTTTAAGCTCATTGTCTGAGTCTGCGTTTGGGTCCTCGTCTTCTGTTTCATTTTGAACTCATCATCAAGCTTCGGTTCATGAATTTTGGGACCACCAAAAAAACCTTTTGGTTTGGTAAAATTTTGGCTTCACTTTTGAGACCAGACTGTGACGTCGGACCCCACACACACACACACACACACACACACACACACACACACACACACACACACACACACCCACCCCGTGGGTATAGTGACACACACTTATTTTATTATAGCCGTGGTTTCGGCTTAAACGCACGGGACACAGACCACTCCCGCTCAGTAGTCACTCTGCTCCCTTCCTCGACTGTCACTGAAACATAAGAGTCACAATCGGCCACTCGTTCCAAACACCTGTTCAGCCCCGCCTCTGTGCCGGTTGTGGTATGACAGAATATACGTGTGTCAATGAGAGAGGCAAGTGTAACACTGAAGATGCAAGGACCATAGACAGTGAACGTGCATGAAGTCAAAATACCTGGGGTTAAACATCCAAAGAAACAGACAGTGCAGAAGAGAGGACAAGAAGAGGGTACAGGCAGGGTGGATGGGTGGAGACAGGTGTCAGGGGTGATTTGTGGTGATGACCTGCTATGATGCATGGTTTGGAAATGGTGGTACCCGACTAAAAGACAACAGGCCGATTTTCTACGATTTTCATTGGTGGTGACCAGGATGGAGGAGATTAGAGATTATTGTATCTGATGACAGCTTGGGCTGAGCAGTTTAGATGATAAAGTTAGAGAGGAGCTAGGAGAAGTTAAAGTTAGAAGATTGCAGAAAAGATTCATGGATGTAGTGTAGGAGCACATGCAGAGGGCTGGTATAACATATGAGTACATTTGGTGAAATGAGCTTAAGAAAAGAGATCTGACGGACTCTAAAAGGCAAGAAAATTAAAAAAGACTTTCAGGCGGATGCAGCACTCTTGAAATTACTAAGATATTAGGGCATGATCATCAGGTGTTTTGTTCCAAGAAGTCAACAGGATCACAAGAAAAAAGATGCAAAATAGCTGCTGAAGATTTGAGAAGACTCAAACGTGACGCTCCCAGGAACCCATTATCCTTAAACGTTGTCTTACCCTGAGTTCCCAGAAGTGCAAGCGCTCAGAGACATGTCCGAGCTAAAGAATACTGAAATGCAAACACCACGGATGTGTCATGACTAGGCCAACAAATATCTGAAGACATATTTTCTTTTGTAGCAACTTTATTTTCTTTCTCTGAAACCAGTTGAGAGTTTCCTTGGCTGTGTGCTTGGGATCATTGTCTTGCTGAAAAGTCCACTCTTATTTCATCTTCACCATCTGGGTACATGGCAGAATTTTTTATTTTTTATTTTTTTAAATCAAGAATGTCGTGATACATTTTTCCAGTCATCCTTCCCTCCTTTATATGAAGCGTGCCAGTGTTATATAATGAAAAACAGCACGATCCCACCTTCAAACTGACCTGTTGGTCTGGTGTTATTCAGGTCATATGCAGTACCTTTTCACCTCCAAATATAGTGTGTATGAGGACATCAAAAGAGTTCAGTTTTGGTCTAGAGGCCATGTTGGTTGAGTGCATTGTGTGTTTTCTTTGAAACAATTGTACCTGCTGATTCCAGGTCTTTCTGTAGCTCTCTACAAGTGGTCCTTGGATTGTCCATCATTTGGGACTGAACCAACTGAAATCAGTTTACACTAAATGCCAGAAATGCTTTCTAATTACTGATATATCTTAAGTGGTGCAATGACTTTCTATGTCTTTTTTGCACCTGTTTATAGCTTCGATACAGTTTACCTGACATTTCTCATTATTACGCATAACTCAATTTATGGACATCTATGGTCTGACCTTTTTGCATTTGTGGATTTGATGGGTTTTTACCCACATCTGGTAAGAATTTGATGTCAATGGCACTTTTAGAAATATATTTACTTAGAAAATTGGTGACATGTTCAATTCTTGTTTTACCCAGTGTAAGTCCTACACTACGACAACCGACTGAAACCAACCAAATGGCCATTATGTGGTCTATGTTGTGGATACATCTTCTTGTAAGTGGCACAAAAACATTTTTTGATAGGTATGATAATCGTACTGTTAAAGTATGGGGGGGAAATCCATAAAAAGACAAAAATTAATTTAATTTTAATTTTATATTGTGAATCATCTCTATAGATATTTCAGATTTAGGTATTGTAAGATCCTGTAAGGTCTTGCTCTCCCAAAGTAGGTAAGGCCAGGATTAAGGTTAGGGTTGGCGCACATGACGTCGGCAGGTTAAATACTCAGCTTGACTTTAATAACATTTTATATTGACCAAGAGCACTGTGATTGTTTAATAACAAACTTAGTCCAAGTCCTTAATAACTTCCCTAAAAAGTGTTCAGACTGTAGTTGATAAATTAGTTTCTATTGTTGCTAGGCAACTGGTTTGTTTACATCTGATTGCAGATTGCGCATTTTTTGATGTTGGGTGACTTCTGCTCTTCTGTTAAACACAACTAACACTTTGCAGGGCATCTTTGGGGGAAAATCAGCTCTCATGGAAGCAACTTCTGGCCAAGATGCTCCAGGTAAGCGGTAACTTTGCTGTAGCACAGTGTTTGTTGCATTCTGTGTCGATGACACACTGTTAAGCCTCTCTGTGGAGATCACCAACACAGAGCTTTCAAAATGTTAGTACTGGTGAACACTCATGAAGTCATTCTCACATTTTATTTATTGATTGCAGCACTTTGAATTTGTAGAGATAAAAATAAAGACTAATTTTCACCCCATATTCTTAAACATTTTTACTGAAAAAACAAACAAACAGCCAAACTGGTGTATCTGTACACATACACGTGTGTGTTTGTTTTAGCTGGGTTTCAGCCAACTGACTTAAGTCTTGTTTAGAAGAAATTCTTGAAAAACTTAACTTTAACATTAAGCATTTGTTACTGGATTTTAGTATGAAATAAAAATATGAACCTGGTGATGCTTTTAAAAAACAAAAACAAAGAAACCCCCCCCAAAAGTAAACCAAACTTTCTATCATTTACCTGAGGAGAAATATTGACCATATTTCTGTGCTATTGCTCCACAGCTTCGTTGAAAAAATATTTGCTATGTCAAATGCCAAAAGCTTGGGCTGACCTGCCTTCATATCACGGACCTCCGGCACCTGGCAGTATTGGGGTCTATACAAAGAGGACTGGAAGAGAAACCCTGCGTTATAGGGGCTACATTTATCCATCTGCTTCAACAGAAATGCCCTTGACAGCATTTCAGCACCCATTCACATGTGGGTGTAAGAGAAAATTGACCAACTACAAAAAGCTGCTGAAGGAGCTAAAGGATAAAGAAACTGAGGCCGAAGAAGTGACAAAGTTGATCTCAGAGATTCGAAAGAACAGAGAAATGCTTGGCCATGCGACTACGTCGTCTGAATTAAAACACTCGATCCAAGAAGACAATGCAGCCACCAGTGGAAGAGAAATCGAATCAGAACCTACAGGTTCATTAATTCAGCATGTGGAGTCTGACAACGTTGATCCACTTCAAGAAATTCTTGATGAAAGCAAGCCCGCATCTCTTGACTTGTTTGACGAATTTGAAATAAGCTACAATGAGTGGCCATTTTAGCATGCTGTAGGAGCCGGAGTGTCTTTGGATTTTCAAATAAAATATTTGAAATCTTGCATAAATAATGTGAGCAGTAGTAAATCTTTTTTTTTTTTTAAGTTTTATCTATCTTGGGTGAGCTCTACACACACACACACACACACACACACACGCACATAAACACACACACAGTTACTTTATTTAACTTTATAGTTTATCTAACCTTATTTTACATGTAGCCATCACTTTGGTGATGGTTAAATTGATGTTTTTGCAAAAATAAAAATAAAATGTTTGGTAAAATACGAGAAATAATACACACACAGAGATAATAGTTTTCAATACATAACACTAAAAACTCTACCAGCCCCTCCGAGGCTGTGAAAATTGAGACAGGCCTACTTTACTTCATTTAAAAATTCACAGAAACTAACTGAAATGCTTGCTTATTTAGGACTTTCAATATCACACACATTATAGTGGATCACCTGCCCGCTTCTCAGCCTCTCTCCTTAGCCATCACACCAACTCCAATGGAGAGAAACTTGGGGTTAGGGTCGCTGAAGGATACTTTGTGTTTCGATCCCGTTCTCAATGTGAAAGCTTCCAGTTAATGGATGGCCTACTCTATCTCCTGAGCTACAGCCACATCGTATATAGTAATGCACTTTGCAATTTGATGAATGTAGTATCGCAGTTTGACCAGTACACCAACATTCCTGCATAATCCAGCATAGTTATAGGTCTTGGGTTCGAATACATCATCTGTCTGGGGGCCCTTCTGTGTGGAGTTTTCCAGGTCTACATCAATAATTAGTGAACAGGTATGCTCAATGACACAAACAGAGCCATGATGACAGTGTGTGGAGTAGCCCCTTTCATGATAATATAAGGCAAACAAGTTTGACCCATATCGAAATTTTGTTTGTAAGGATGCAGAAGAGATTTGAGATTTGCTGGACGACGCCCAAAGTAAAAGACGTCAGTGTGTTCTGTCTTCCTCCCCTCATCCCCAAGTGATAGCGGCAGATGGTTGCCCCTCCCTGAGCCTGGGTCTGCCAAAGTTTCTTCCTGTTAAAAGGGAGTTTTCTCTTCCCACTCTTGCAAATGCTTGCTCACAGTGGGCCATTTGATGGTTGGGGTTTTTGTCTGTGTTACTGTGGGGTCTTTGTTGGTATTTGGCACTATATAAGAAAAATTAAAATGATGATCAGAGATCAAATATGACTAAGTCAAACTTAGCACTACTGCTGAAGAAAATTAATGCTAATCATGAAACAAGAATACACAAATTAGTTAAAAAAGTCCAGTGTTTCTTTGCTGCTTCTTTGCCTTTAAAGGATTGTTTCTCTATCAGTTTCCTGTATTCGTATATTTTCTTTGAATAATGTTTACTTGACACAAAATTCTAAGGCATGCCTGGATACCATTTGGCATCCCTGATGTAGAATTTGAGAAGGAAGAAGGATGTGTGGACTAATCTGTTTCTGCTGAATCAGTTTAGATCCTTTATTTTACCTATTTACTTAAGATTTTTGTTCTGTTGCACCTTATCGCTAGATAAACGTTCCCCCTGAGAGGATTTGCTCTTTAGTACCATCTTCTGACATGACTTGGGATAACATGTTTGCAAATCTGTCTCTGTTCCATGATGTCATCAAAAAGAGTCTGTCATTGTTTGGGGAAAAGCATCTCCTGCTCTCTGCTGTAATTGCCATTGTTTGACTTAAGATGGTCTTTAAAGGCATTGTCGTTTTGTAATTCTGGTTTCTTCCTGGTAATGAACAAACAAGTATTTGAGCCAAACTAGCCAAGTTATTTTGCACTGGTATTGTGTATTTTTTCCTTTTTGTTCATTGTCAAAGGAGCTTTCAAAGAAAAGCGTCTGGACTTCTTTAAGTTGCTTGAAGACATTTCACCTCTCATCCGAGAAGCTTCTTCAGTTCTAAGGTGAAATGGCAGAGAGTCCCAGATTTAGTCCCAGATTCCCAGAATCAACACTCGACTTTTTAAACTAATTTGTGTATTCTTGTTTCATGATTAGCATTAATTTTTGTTCATTGCTTCTAAAGGCATTTTATGTTATTTTCTCAGCAGCCTAAGTAAAGTCCGTGAAGTTGACCCCTCTTGTCTGCGTGGTCATTTTAAAGAGGAGTTCAGATTGAATGTCGATTCTAGCAAGACGCTGAAGTGGACGACGTTACAATTTTTTATATTAAAAAGGCACTCATTGTTTTAGACATTTCCCCAGTGAGAGCTTCAATGTTATTTTTATTTATTTTTCATTTGATGGAGGGAGTCTTGCGGTCTCTGGCTGCCATGGTCACTGTGTTGCTTCTTCAAGCTGGATCAGGCAGTGAAAAATGTGTCTGTTCCCGTTCCAAGGTGAAGGATAATAACTTACTAAGTGGAAAACTGGATTAGAGGCGTTCACATTTGCTTAGTCATGCCGCCCTCCCTGAACACGTGCACACACACACAATCAAATGTGCTGTACACACAAACAATTATCTTGTGCTCCTTACAAAGTCAGCCCCATGACCCCGCTCCAAACAGACAGACACACTTTTTTCCAACCAACATGCACACACACTGAATCAATCTGCATGCAGTCCGCATGATTTATTCCACTCTAATTGCCTAACTCCAGTATTAATAAGTTTCCTTACTTGTGCTACAGCCTTTGAAGGGTAATTGTGTAATTCCTTGTCAATTTTTTTTTCTGCAAAGATTTTTTTTTTAAATAAATTACTTTATAATCCAACAGAAAAACACAAATGTCATTTGACAAGAAGAGATTAGGCCTCTGACTCTTGACATGTTTCCCCAGCTGTCAAGAATCTGACAATAAATACATTTAAATCTATGCAAGCCAGCACTGTTATGTAAAGTCTTGGCAGTCAATTGGTATGAGTGGCTGCGTACTGTTTCGATGCCCTGCAGAGTTCTGCTAATGAGGTGCATTGACATCAGAGTGCAGAATTACCACTTGCGAATTTATTTGGTGCTTGTTTACCCCATAACAAACAAATCCTGTTCATCCACTCCCTGCTCATAAAACTGAATTTTAAAAAGGTTTTAAACTTTAGTACAGATCTACAAGATTCCATTTTACAAGCCTGTATGGTGACAAAATCATACACAAGATGTTTTTCCATTTGATGAAATGTATATTTAAAACAAACAGAAGACGACTGAATCTTGGGTTGAAATCTAAGAAGTTTGTTCATCTTTCTGCGAATATTTGATGGAGAAAGTGCAAAAACATTAAGTATTTATCAAAGAACGCTTGTTTAACTCTTTTAATGGAATTAAACAAAGGCTTGCTTGAAGATTTCTCTCGATGTAGTAGTCATATTTATTGAAACGATGGGACATCCTGAAACAACATTACACTATCCTGGGTCTGACTATCTTTTTTTTTTTTTTTTTTTTTTTTTAACTAAATTGAGTTTGTGTTTAAGTTTAGTTTGTTGATCTTCATGTTATCTTGAGTATTTCTGAGTCTTTAGTTTGTGTTACTTAATTTGTCCCGTCAGTATTTTCTGTCTTATCCTCTTGTGTTTTTCAGTGTCTGATAACCTACCCTCATGTGTTTTGCCAATGTGAATGTTTCTGATTTAAAATAAATGAAAAGCATTGGGAGATTCAGCTTGCTAAGATGGGACAAAAACTGGGACCCATGTGAAAAATCAGTTATTCACACAACCACTAGAAGTGCAGCATAATGATGGTGTTAGCCTGCAATCAATGTGAAAACCAAAGTGGCAAAAAAACTGCAGTTTCTTTAGGAGCCACTTGCAGCAACCTCATAAAGAAACTAAAGAAAATCAGTCCCATTGGTCCATTTTAACATAGCAGTCATCTATAGCATTAAGTAGCATATTTAAAGCAGAAATAAATAGTTTCTTAATAGTTCAATCTGCTAGGACTTATTTACTATTTCCAGATATTAAACTGGACTCATCCATTGTGTCTGTGTTGGAGTCTCTTCAAGCATTTAGAAAACAATAACTCCCACTTGTATTGTTTTGTCAGTCTGTTAAGCTGCGTACAAACTGGAAGCATCTTGCTCGTCCCACATGACTTTGAATCCAGGTTCTGGTTGCCTTGGTAACCTTCAATTAATGGTGAAAAAACAAACAAACAAACACACAAGGCAAGAAACCCCCCTGAGATTACAAATACATAATAAAAATAGACAAAAAATGAAAAACATGGTGTAACACACCAGTGGATATAATAAGGATAAGCACAGTGCATTTATATGAGAGGAACAAAGTTTCTTTCTCCTTAACTCACGATTGCCTGTGATAACGAGACAAACAAGGTTTATAATATATTCAATGATAAGCTGTTCCAGAGAAGTAGTTCTACTATACCTCAGTTTTTCTGACTGCAGCATGGACGTCATTTCTGTTATCTAGATGTTAAAACATGGAAGTTTGTCTGATTTCCTTGTTTTGGGGCCATTAAAGAAACAAAAGCAGTTGCCTTTGCTTGCACTTTACAAACAGTGACCTCTAAGGGGGGAAACCCAAAGATACAGACATATGGAGATAGTATGCATTTTTTTTTTTAAAACAGGACTTTTGCATCAATGCAGATTTTTATAAAATATAAATAAAGCTCATCTGTTTGTTTATATTCATCCCAACCATTGTGAAATGTGCTCATACACAGTGGACACTACTGTTCAGATTTATCTTTAAATGGTGACTCTGAGATCGAGCTGGAAGTGGTCTTCCAATGAGACCTCTATCTTACATCATTATACCCTCTTCATAGTATATTTAGTGCTGTGAGACTAAAAGCAGGCACAATTTCATCCTGTCGTATTTCTCTGCCAAAGACTTATCTGTGTTGTCAGCTTGAAAGTAATATCTTAGCAATTTGAAATAAACCACATAATACAGACTGTAGCACATACACAGCAAACACTGAGAGGGTGTGCGATCATAAGTCATTTGCAACAACTTTTGCAATTTCTTTGGCAGCTCCCATGAGCTCCTCAAGTTCTGCTTCAAATATTTTTGGGATCCAGGCCAAATGCTGAATTATAAACATTCGTGCTGAAGACGCTTTT